GCCTCAGCATGGCCGGAGAAGTGGTGCGTTGGTGCGCGCCCAGGATCCGAACCCGGGCCACCAGCAGCGGAGCACATGCACTTAACCGCTAAACCACGGGGCCGGCCCTCTATTGCTAAGCTTTGAAGTTCCCTCAACTTTTCTTCTACAGTGTCTCATCTCTTGATGCTCCTGTCCAGTGTATTTTTCATCTCAAACGCTGCAGTTTTACATCTCTAGAAGTTTGCTTTTGGTCTTTTATATCTTCCATGTCTCCAGTTAACTTTTTGAACTATGGAATACAGTTATAATAATTGTTTTGATCTCCTTCTGTGTTAATCCTAACATCTCTGTCAGTTCTGGTTTGGTTTCTAGTGATTTCTTCTTCTTCTTTTCTCTATGAGTTATGTTTTCCCATCTCTTTGCAGGCCTGGTCATCTGACTGAACACCAGACATTTTGATCTTTACCTTGCTGGGTACTGGATATTTTTTATTTCCTCTAAGTCATCTTGAGCTTCAGTCTGGGATAGTAGGAAACATTTTGATCCTTTTGGGTCTTGCTTTCATGATTGGTTAGGCAGGTCTAGAGTAGAGCTCAGCTTAAGGCTAATTATTCCTCACTAATGAGCCAAGACATTCCTGAGTACTTTACCCAATTCCCCACTGAAGTGGGCTGAACAGTGGCCATCTAAAGATATCAGGTCCTAAACCCTGGAACCTATAAATGTTACCTCGTAAGGAAAAAAGGGTCTGTGCCCTTGTGATTAATTTAAGTATTTTGCCATGGAGAGATGATGCTGGATTATCTGGGTGAATCCTAAATCCAATTACAAGTGTCCTTTTAAAACAGAGAGGCAGAGGGAGATGTGACACATGCAGAGAGGAGGAGGCAGTGTCACCACGAGGCAGAGACGAGAGTAACGCAGCCGCAAGTCAAGGAACGCCGGCACCTACAAGAAGGTGGGAGAGGCAGGAATGGATTCTCCTCTAGAGCCTCTGCAGGGAGCGGGACCCTGCCAACACCTTGATTTGGCTCGGTGAAACTGATTTCAGACTTCTGGCTTCCAGAAGTGTGAGAGAATCAACGTATGTTGTTTTTGGCCACCGAGTGTGTGGTGATTTGTTCCAGCAGCCTTAGGAAACTAATACCCCCGTGAATTACAGGTTTTCTCAGTCTGGCTGTTGTGAACAGGCACTGTTCCTGGCCCAGGCACAGTTCCCTCTAATCTTCTATTCCTTTCAGATGGTTCTTTCCCTGCTCAGAGAGTTCATCCACACGAGTGTGCTGAACAGCCCTCCCTGAACACTCTTGGGGGACCCTCTGCAGATCCCCAGGGTTCTCTGTCTGTCCAGCTCTCTCCTCTCTGGGACTCTGTCCTAAAAACTCTAACTTGCTTGGTCTCCCCGGACTCTTGGTTCTGTCTGCTCAACTTGGGAACCCGGTCAGACTCTGCCTCAGTCCCTTCTCTCTGTGCCATGTTCTGGAACTCTATCAAGGCATCAAAGCTGGGGCACCTCCTTTGTTTCCTGCCCCTCAGGCATTACTTTCCTTCATTGCCTGATGTCCCGGATCTTGAAAACTGTTGTTTCATGTTTTTGTCTGCTTTGTTTGGGCTGTTTTAGGCAGGAGCGATAATCTGGTCCCTATAATTCCATCTTGGCTGGAAACTCCGTTATGTTTGTAGGCATCTTCATCTTTTTGATTAAAGTTAAATGAATGCACAATGTAACAGGGCAATCTGGAAACCAAGGAGCAGTGTTTATAAAGTCATGTATTCTTTATTCAACAGATTGTTACGAAGGCATTATTTTTAGGCACTGAAAATATAGAGGTAAATAAAAAGGTCACTATTGCCCAAAGAAAACATCGTATCCCAGCTCCTTGAACAGAGTCCATTCTTCACTTATCTTCACATCATGGAGGCACATAGCAGACAGTTGTTAAAATAAATCGAGTGTATTACTAAATGACCATTTCATGTAAACATAAATAGGTAAAGTTTACTGCAGCTGCCATTCATTTTTACTAAAATAATAAGAGGAAACACTGACCAAAGGATAGAATAAATTGATCCCATAAAAAGTGATGAATGAAGTTTAGAATTTTGAATAGTTAAATTAAGACCACATTTCAGATTGAAATGTATTAAGAATATATTCAATTGTCCAAATGATTTCCTAATAAAGTAACACTTTACTAGGGAAAGGAAACACTAAAGGAAAATTTTATCTTTTCTATAAAAAGCAAAATTTTAATTCAGAAAGTTAGGAATCTTTGAAAAAACACTTCCACCCAAATGTAAATAGAAATTTAAATCTAAAATATCAGATGTGTAATTGTTTCACGCTCAAGGTTTATAACAGCATCATTAGGAGTACGCTTCCTTCCCATATGGCGTAGCTCACTGATAATACTACCAACTCTTGACACTGAGCGCAAACTCTGCACTATGCTGAGCACTTTATGTGTATCGTCTCCGCTAATCCACACCAGACTCTATGACACAGATATTATTTTTATCCTGATTTTAAAGATGATGAAGCTCAGAGACAATAAGTAACTTGTCTAAAGTCGTATAATTGTGTAATTAGCAAAGCTAGGACTTAAATTTAGTCTTCTTGACTCTAAAGCTCGTGTTCTAAAACTAAGCCACAAATTCAAATTTATAAACAAGTAAAATACAGCTGATTGCAAAAACGTTCGCTATAAAGTTCCCTTAGATAATGGTTTCCTCCAAATAGCAAATATCAATTAATATTTTACTTCAATATTTCAAGAGTACTTTTATTTAAAAGATGAAGCTAAACTGATCATTTCTTTTATTTTTATATATATATATATATATATATATATGCAAGCACATAAGGCACTCAGATATTTTAAAAAGACAGTTTTGTATTTAAAGACTCTGTAGTCTCTCACAAATAGATCAACAAAAATATTCAGAGGAAAACCATCAAACCTTATTTTTTTATATGTGTTTATATCCTTGTGAATAGAGAGTATATGAGAATGGATGACACAATTTGCCCTAAAATAGACACAACTATTTTCACATTAACATACTTCTCTAAAAAGGATTCTTTTGGTGCATGTGTATAATAGATATTTATTTTACGTGGGAAGTGGGCATAAAATGTAACGTTTCATATTTCTTTGCCATCGCTGGAGAGAAACAAATATGGATCAATGAGACGACTCATAACAAGAGTCAGATGAAGACACCTTATCACAGTCAGAGCACATGCTCTGAAAGTCCCAACAAGGCTCTGGATTTTCCAAGTAGGTCACCTGTACACTCCTGTGAGTGAAAGGCATGGACCATACACAGGATATTAGAGAATATGTCACCTCTGGAGAAATTATAGTAACATTTTTGTTATTTACCTGAAGGTTTTCACAGGTCTCTTGACTGTAAGTGAGTCTCTGGATTTCTGTGGGTGAGACAAGATACAACGCTTGTCCATTGTTGGTGAAGCAGAACGTTCTGGCTATCCGCATGTTGGTGAGGGGCAAGTAATACACGTCCAACAGAGGCCTTAAACTTGGCAAACTTGAGAAAAAAATTAAAAACTTGTTAATAAGAAACAAGGTAGGTTTTAGCCCTGAACAAAGTATTATGGGAGGTCAAAATGGCAGGGACCTTATGAACCTTATGATTTTGTGGACTTGAAAAGGAGACAAAACTGAACTGCATTCCTCAAATATGTGTTCACTATCAACTGAATGAAAATAAATTCTCGTGTCTAAGACCGTAAACAAATAAGAGCATTTCTTTCAAACTGAATATAATTCTGTAATATTATGTTCTGAGGGATGAAATGTTGTAGTTGTGTCTTAAAAACACATCTGACTCTTACCTGAAGGTCATGATATGGCCGTTGGCACAGAAACAGGCGAGGCAGATGCTGTTACTCAGCGCTACGATATCCCCTCGGAGCACGAACGAGGTCTCCGTGACGTTCTGCTTATACGCACAGTTCTGAGTCGGCAGCGAGATGACCTTCGCCTGTTTCTCTGAACATATCACTGCATACTGGTTTTCACTCATTTCCTGAGAAGAGGAGGGGGAGACGGAGACAGGCCGCCGTTTTTTCAGTTTCTCCTTCTCGTCTTTTTCTTCAGGGACGTTGGGCTCTCTCCAGGATTCGTATGCGGGTGGCACTAAGCAGCCTGTGGTATCCAGGAACGCCATTCTCAGGATCGCCCCTTTTAACCTCAATATAGTACCTAAAATATGTAAGTTTCGTAGATAACAGATGTTTTAATCCACACAGTCAATATGGTTATTCCAACTGTGACACACAGTAGACACTCAAAAATATGCAGAATGTGTATTGAACAGAAATGGCACACTAGCTTACGGACAGGATTCAAACTTCACGCATGATATTTGAATCCAGAAAAAGATGTAATACGACATGCCCCAAATAGATAAGTGCCACCAAGCAGATAAACGCTGGGGCGTCTGGAACTGTCTTCTTGTTCCTGGTAAATGTACTACCAAATATGAGCACAATTACAGCATTTAGAGCTGCACCGTCCAATGTGGCAGCACCAGCCACGTGTGGCCGGAGAGCACTTGAAATGTGGTTTGTCCAAATGGCGGCATGCTGAGAGAGTAAAGTACATGCCGGGTTTGAAGACTTGGCACACAAAAAATTAAAATATCACAATATTTTAAAAATACTGATTACATGCTGAAATGACAGTATTTTGGACACATTGGGCTAAATAAAACGTTATTAATTTCACCTGTTTTTTTACTTTTTGAATATGGCTACTAGAAAATTTAAAATTCTATACGTGGCTCACATTGCATTTTTTTAACAGTACTGATCTACACAGCCAATGAGAAAAAAAGAAGTCCACATAATTCTAAACATTAGCTCAAAAAATCACAATTTCCTTTTAAACTATTTACCGATAAATGTCAAATACATTCAAGGCATTATTTTGGTCAACCTAGAGTCTTAATTTAGGGGTTATATTTCTTGACTTCCTTTTTTTTTTTTTTTTTAATTTTTTTTTTCCCCCAAAGCCCCAGTAGATAGTTGTATGTCATAGTTGCACAGCCTTCTAGTTGCTGTATGTGGGACGCGGCCTCAGCATGGCCGGAGAAGCGGCGCATCGGTGCGCACCTGGGATCCGAACCCGGGCCGCCAGCAGCAGAGCGCGTGCACTTAACCGCTAAGCCACGGGGCCAGCCTTTGACTTGCTTTAATTAATGGGACTCACTTTTCCCTACACCCTTGAAAATGTAAGTATACTTTATGCTCATTTCTAAGGAAGCTAAATGGTAACATTAACATTAAGGATTTGGAAACCAATGGAAGGGATGGTAAAATTCAAGTTCAATTCTTATTTTCAAAGATTTTTCATATCTTATTACTTTATACTTATATGATAGTTTATAGTTTGCAAAAATTTTCCATATATTATTTTCTTTTATTTCTAAGAGGAAGAGTTCCCAATGTTTTCTCAAAATTTTTCTTAGAAGCCAAAATATTGTTTCCTTTCATCTTTGCATTTATATATTTTATCTGTTGCAGGGTTGCCAGATAAAGAAAGGATGCCCAGTTAAATCTGAATTTCAGATACATAATGAATACTATTTTAGTATAAGTAGGTCCCAAATACTGCATTATCTTTCCAAATACTATTGGGGACATATTTATATTAAAATGTATTTGTTATCTGAAATTCAAATTTAACTGGGCATCTTGCATTTTATTTGCTAAACCTGGTAACCTTAGTCTATAGTGCAGGTTTGGCAAGCAGATCATTGAACTATTTTAAATGGTTTGCTAATTTGGGAACTGTTTATAGTACATATGAACATCTATGAGATACGGTAATTCCAGGATGTGGATTTTCTAAAAACGACCAAGATAATATTTAAATATATTTAAATATATGCTTGTCCTATAGTTGGCAGGATTTCAGTATGTTTTCCAGCAGAGTAGTGGTAACTGTTGGGTGCTCCTCTTGAAGGGAAAATAAAGAATACAATTGGGGACAAAGTAGACCACTTCAGGTTCTTAAGCACAGAAACCCATCTGCGTGAAAAACACCCCTCTTCTCCTCACAGTTCCAATACAGATCACATGACATGAACGTCACTGTTATATTTTAAAACAGGCCTCTTATTAACAAAATAAAGCTCAAAGATTACACCACCGAGAACGAAACCAAACGTTCCTTCTTACATATGAAAATTATTTTTATATCAAAGTAACTTTACAACTAATTTGACTTTACCGCAGGTTGGAAAATATCTTAAACATTTTTTTATGTAGTTAATAGTAAATTATCTATATTTAATCCCCCTCTCTCATTTTTATTTATTGGAAACATTTGTTTTATTACAAACTGATAACATGTTTGTTGTACAAAATTTAGAAACTACACATCAGTAAAAAGAAGAAAATAAAAATTACCCACAATCCCACTCTTCAGTGATAATTACTACTAACATTTTGATTTTCATCTTTCTGGTTTTTTTCCCTACGTGCATATGTGTTGCTTACTAATAAGAGACAAAGTGAATGAGAATATCATCATTGTGTAACCTTTTCTAACAACTAGGCATGCAGTAGCTACTCAAATATTTAGTGAACTGAATGAATAAATCAAACTTTAACATAAAGATAGTTCAGAAATGAACATTAATATCATAATTACATTTTAATTCTAAATTCCAAGTATTGTTAAAGTCAACTATATAAACAAGAGATACACTAATGAGCAAAATTGTGGTTTTTTTCTATGTAGATTAGCATAAATTAGTAATATAAACCAGAATTCTCAGTTATTTCCAGAATCAGACTATCAGATTCCACATACATTTGATAAAATTCAATCTCATTTTCAATATATGGAGACTGTAAATTTTTTCTTCCTAAAATTTGCTATTGTCATCTTTTCCTAATACTTGCAAGAAGAAAAATAATCAATTTTAAGACTTCACACTTAGAGATTAAAAATTGCCAAGTGTATAATGTTTAAAAATATACTTTTCTGATTTTCTTCTAAGCACGTACCATCCTTTTATTTATGGAACATAATATTTTGAGGCATCCTGGAATGCATTAGAACAACAGTTTTTTTTTCTTCATTGTCTTATGTAGTAATCATTTTAGCCATAATCCTAGAGTTAAAAAAATAGCAAAACCCGAATGGCTTTATAAATAAAGAATATTCTGGAATGTTATTCTATGCATTCCTTCATTAAAAACATAAGACTGTAACTATCCCCATTTAGTTTACATTTTAGAATTCTTAGATCAATTAAAAATGAAAAGCAAAGGCTTCTACTAAATTAAAGTAAATCGAACCTTCAATCTAAGTACAGCCTCAGAGTGTACATACCGCTGGGAGACACGATGACGGGCTGCAGAAGCCTTTGCTCTCCTCCTGGGGGAAGGTTCAGTGCAATGACAAGCACTGTTCCCAACGTGGTACCAACCCACAAACACGGGGAAGGAGAGGAATCCGCCTTTCGAGTAAAAGTCTCACAGAAATGAAGAGCAGAGATTGCTTCTCGGGATTCTTTATCAATGCTGGTCACGCTCGAACTCCGCGATCGGCTGAAGGAATTATCTTTTATATCTGAAAGGGTTTAAAATGTTGTGAGACTGTTCAACTTATAAAATACCACGTCTTTTTGTTTAGTATAAATTTGGTCAATAATGAATCTGCAAAAAGACAAAATCTATAGCATATTTAATTTTAATTGAAAAGAAAAACAATTTACTTTTAAGTCAATAATTTTTTCCTTTGCTTGAATATAAAATCTAAACACATAAACCCACACTTCTCAGATCTAAGCTGGGTGTATTTCAGTGCATTTCCGGCTGTGTGGTCTTTATGGTTTTTGGTGCAGCTCTCTTGCTCTCTTGGCTGCTTCTCTAACCTCAGCCTTTTCTCATGGTGCTGTTTCTTCCTTTGGTAACACAATTTCACAACTAGGTAGAACTCGAGAAGTGTGGGTCTTTTCAATTTTCTACATTTTAAAAATGCATTTAGACGTACTCTAATTCTACCTTCAAATGTATTGTATGATGGACTTTTTCTCCAAATCTGTCCATATGAAAACCTCTAATCCACAAAAATTTAGCTTTCATTTTTCTTGAATGCCATGTTAACTGTAATCAACATTCTTCTACTGCATTTTTCATCAAAATGCATAACTGGTATCTGGCTCATACTTACCTGGAGACAGGTATATCCCCCTTACCTGGCTCTGTCTATAGTGACAGGGATACTAATAAATCACACTAATAAAGCCTCTCTTGTCTTCAGCTGCCTCCTTCCCTATGGCCAATCTCAAGTCTGTCTCAAGCTCTGGCCTCTTTTTCTCTTGGAACTGCAATGCCAAATGCTTACGGAAAATGCTTGTTCTGTCATGTCTCACTACGCAAAATCAAACACATCATTTCCCCAAAGCTCTCAATTCTTCTGATGGTACTGTTTATATTAATGACCCTCCTGGGAACAACACTTAAAATGAGCTGCAGTTTTGGTTCTTTCCTTTCACTTTACCTATACCTTAAGGGGATGCCAAGCTCTATGTTATTTTTTTCCCATGTTCTGTTTCCTTCTTCCCATCACCAATCAACTTCCATCGCCCTGCGTTCAGGCCTTCAGCACATCCATCTAGACGACTGCACGATTCCCAAGTCATCTCCCTGCCTTTGCTCCATCGCTGTTCTAACACAGCTCAGGTTTTATAAGGTACAGATAGGATTCTATCACCTCTGTTTAAAAATCCTCAGTGGTTCCTCTGTATTTGATCATGCTGATAATCTCACTCAGGTGTTTAAGACTTTCCACAAATTATCTCCCACCGCCCCTCCTGGCCCTGTCTTCCAGTGCTGCCCTGCTCAGTTCACTGCGGGAAACACACCGAGCCATTCAGTGCTCTCCACACACACACCACACTTACCTACTTTTAGACCTTTGCTTGTGATTTTCTTTCTGATTTGACCTTTCTCTACCTATCAAGGTCATGCTTACTCTTCATCCCAGGTACTGTCATGTTCATGAAGTTCATCCTAATTCATAACCATATATAGTTTTTCTCTTTTTTTAATCTCGATAGCTTTTTTTCTCTCTCCTATGGCACTGATAATACATTTGTTCTGTAGTTATTTCTGACTTGTCTGAGGCCTTGCTCTGAAGTGATTGTTAAGTTTCTTGAGTAGAAGGGCTGTGTTGTTTTGATGCCCTGCAGAATTTATCATGGTGCCTTGCATATGAAAGTATTCAATAAATACTTGCTGAAGACAGAACTGTAGTTGAAAGTATCTAAACCAATGTTTCTGCTGTACGATTGGGCTATATTAAAATTTCCAGTAGCTTCTACCGTCACATCTAGCAAATCCTTCCTCAAATCACATGCTTTCATCGCTATCGTGAAAGAAATGACTTTATAATGTTATGAAATATAAAAAACATGTTAAAGTCTTCTAAGTGGTATTTTATCAAAAAAGGTATAACTAAATCCTATGTATACTTCCCCAAAGCTTTTTGTAATCAAATTTAGATTCACAGATTGAAAAATATTCTCCCAAATAATAATTATATACACCATAATTTTGATTATAGCTAGCCTCTGAAAACAATAAAGCTACTAGTTATGACAACAGCGTGGGTCATTTCTAACTACAGTTTCTAAAAATGTCTTTCTTTCCCCCGAGATTGTCCTTCCTGTTACAGATTATGACACGGTAGAAAAGAACTACTTACTGCAAATGAAACAACTTTCTATAAGCAGTAGCTCATTACTGGATGAGTCTATAATATGATGCTGATTCCAAATGTTAACTCTTTATAGTTTCCAAAGTTATTTTAGTAAAATAACAGAAATTTTAAATCTTCCAATGATAAAAATATTTGTTACTTTAATAAAACATACACATACAAGGTGAACAAAGATATATTTTCAGTTGTGATCAGTGATAAAAATGGAAATCAATGATACAAGAAAATTTGATAAAATAAATTTCAAAGTAAATTAACCTGTGTAAAAACTCTTACTGATATCTCTTAAAATTACAAAAGGTGATTCACAACAATCTAGACTTCAAAGGTTAATTCATAGGCCAAACAGTGCTTTAATTTAACGGACTAATTTAACTATATAATATTTATAAACTACAATTACATTTTTAGTATATGACTTCTCTACAAAAATTAGATTACTAAAGAAAGTCCTAAGGCGAGGTCCGTAAGGGAAAGGGAGCTGAATGAGAAGCACCGTTGAACGTACAGAGTTAGGCTGCTTATTCTGTCTGCCTAGAACCGTCCGAAAACAAGTGACAATGTTCAGCAGTTCATGAATTACAACTTCACTGACTGCTAAGTTAGATGCTGTGGGTCTTTGTGGTTCGAATTTGAGAAATTGGGCACGCTAAACAAATGGAACAGAAATTTTAATTTTAATTCTAGTAATAACAGCAGAAATGAAAACAGCTACCACTAAGCAAGGACTACTGTGTGCTACACACTCTCATAACGCTTTACAGTGATCATTTTATTGAACCCACATAACAACCCTGAAAAGTATTATCATCACAATATAACAAACAACAGAGGCTTGGACAGGTTAAATGACTCGTCCGGGATGACAAAGCTAGTCAACGAAGAGTCAGGATTTGTGCCCATGTCCCAGTCTAAATCTTTCCGTTAGGCAACTCCAGATAGACATGGGGTTAGTCACATCACTGATACTATATGAGTGGAGGGTTTTGGTTAATATCGAGTATTAAAGTTCAGTCTTTAGATATACACAAAAAATACTTGAACATGTGGTTTTTCTGGCAGATCTAAACGCAGATAAAATCTGTCATTAATGCCTCCATCCAGCTCTATCTGATACAAGCATGTCATAAAATCATTGCTTTCATGATACTCTCTGGATGCCTAGAACATTCTACTTGTGTATACTACCCTCTCTTCCCTGCACAGAGCCTTATGCAACAAAATGCTACATTCTCTAATCAAAACATAATGCCAAGAGGTGAGTTTGGTCAGGGCAAAAATTAGGACAAAACACTAATCCACATCAAGGTATATAACCGTTTGATGTTTTGCCTCCTGTGGCTGACACTTGAAAGGGACATCAGAAGTCTCACACGATCACCACGGTCCCTGAGCTGTGGGCCGTGTTATCTGGGATGGCGAAGCTATACTGAAAATGCAGTGCTGCACAATTTCCCCATAAACAACAGTGAATTCTATTCACAGACGCTTCCAGAGCTGCAGGCCAGTCCCACAGCCTCTGCTGCTTCACAACACCTGGCAGTTCCAGCCTATCTATCAACATAATTGTTTTTCCCCACTGACTCCTCGGCCAAGGTAAAACAACTACCAGACTCCTCGGCCAAGGTAAAACAATTACCAGACTCCTCGGCCAAGGTAAAACAATTACCAGACTTCTCGGCCAAGGTAAAACAATTACCAGCTAAGAAGCTCTATCAACAAATAGTCCTGCAGCACAATGACTTGAAGGGAAATTACTTTGGCAATATGGAGACTGTTTCAAGGTATATATCAACCAAAGTTATAACTGGCTTAGGGCATTGAACTATATGGGCATGCAAGCTAGAACATAAACTGAATAAAGATGACCTATAAAAGCATGCAGTATATACTTTGATTAAATTACTTATATAGTTTTTAAGTGTGAATATTCTTCAAAAAAATAATTATGATGTTTTTACTAAAAGTACTTCTACATGTGTTTTCTCAGATTTTTAAGATACTAAAAGACACAAAACAATTTTAACTAGTAGTATTTAATGTTATTGAAATCATGGGCCTCTTTGAGAGTCTGAAGAAAACTCTGGATCCTCTTGTTGGGAAAAAATGAATAATGTAAGTCTCAGTTGTACTTGTATTCAAATTACATCCTTCATTTTTATAGTGAAGGAAACAGTGCCCTTCTCAAAGTGTATGTTATCCTACATTCTAGGATAGATTCTTGTTCCCTTAACAGCAGTGATACTACAGAGTTCTACTAAATTGTTCTTCCTGTGTTCAGGAATGGAACCTTTCACTAATGACGGTGAAAGATACTATGCCTACTCATTGATAATCATATGCTTTCTATCAGTACAACTGAGATAAGACTATGATTTGGAAATGCTACAATTAGTATGGTAAAAGGGACCAATACCTATGTTTGTACTATTCACAAAAAGATAATCAAGGAACCTAGAGAATAGTGAGAAGATGAGGTGGGTGAGCAAAGCAAGGGAGAAAATGTAGTTCTTTCTAAGAGAAAGATGGGTAAAATCATCCTTAGGCAGTCATACTTCTTATTCAATTAAAGGCAATAGAAATTTTTGAAGTTTAAAAAAAATTGATTTTAAAAAGAAACCCTGTTTTAGATTTATTACATGAAATCTTATTTTTATCTTTATTGAATTGTTATTGGTCCTTAGCCTGGAATATCAGTGCTGTTTTTGAGCTGGACATAAAGCAAAAGGAATTTGTGAATATATTCATTCTGCTTTCCTAATGGATTAGTTGCATAGAAAGTGCTATACAAAAAGAAATATTTCTCAACTTATCACCAAAAAGTAATAATGATTCTTGAGGTTCACTGTAATACAGAAAACAAGTAATTTATTTTGAAAATATTAAATTCTTGTAAGTTTATAAATTGTAGAGTTCAAAATAAGTTTTCAGATGGTTAAATGAGATATAACAACCTTTAAAAGAAATTAATCTGAAATCACACACATTTTAATCTTATACAAAATTTTGTTTAGATATAAAGTATGAGAGAGCTGAGGAGATATACTATTTTGGTTTGCTTGAATTTATATTATAATTATCTATTATAATTCACAGATGGCATTCCAAAGGCTATTAATCCTTAAACATCTTAGTCATTTTAAACTTGATTTCTGATGAAAATCTAGTCTATGGTAATTTTAAATCTTCTGATTTTCTTGTCTTCCCATTAAAGGCAGTTTAACTACTATAGATTTTTATTTATTTATTTTACTTACCTAAGTCAGGCTTTAGGTCAGTAGGCAAGCTTAACTTCCTTGACATCTTTGCTGAAAAATAAAACAAATTTTTAAAGTTCTGAAAAATATTTGATTCGTATTTATTAATATGAAGTACTCTTCAAGATAGAAGTGAATTTTTTATTACTAAATCTAGATGCTAAGGTAATTAAAATATGATTAATAATATTATGGGTGGAAAGTAAATCTTATTTTCAACTTTTTCAAAAGTGTGTACTTACTTGATATAATATATCTTTGTGCACTTGAAGCTCTTACTTCAAGGAAGCCTTTTAAATTCTGTTAATTATTTCTTAGGCTCACAGCAAAGGGTTAGGCTTTTCTAAGAGAAGTAAAGTCATTTCTCAGAGGGAAGGTGTAGCAGATAACAACAATAGAGGCATAAGACTGAGTTTGGGTAGATGATATAATAAAATCTTTCCAGCTCTTCATCTTCATAGCTATTGGGCTCATTATTTTTAAGTTAATCTCTAGAATATAGGACAAATCTATATCTACAATCAAATTAAAGGATTTGATTATATCATAAAAATATCTGGCTCAACCGTTTCTTGATAAAAGTTAACACCTCTATTTACATTTCAGAGAAAAACAAAAAAACAACGTCATGCTCAATCTAAAATTACAGTATTTACAAAAATGTAAACTACCGATATTTCTATTTAGCATTAGAATAATAATAAAGCCTATGTATAAACTTACTGGAATTCACTTTCCATCCTCAAAATCAGTTATTGCCTTAATCTAGGAAGTGACTGAAAGTTAGGAGTTGTTGAACTATATCTATTTTGTTAGTGGCAACGCATGCGTAACAGAATAGTGCTTCCTATGTGAAACTCTGAAAAAGCATTTGTTTGTTAATACGTGAATGCGTATTTTGGGTTAAATTTTGGACTGTTAGGAGATATTTAAAGCACAGACCCTGCTAGTCCATAAGGGCGCCATGTAAACAAAGAGAAATCCAGTCATAGTACATAACTTCCACATCTAAAAAAATGACAAATTCAGCGTTAGGAAAGCAGCATTAGGCAAACTGAGAAGGGAAGGGGGAAAATCAAGTTTCCACTTCTAAGCTTCATTAATCTAATTAGCATCTTTAAAAAACAATGGATCAAATATATGAATCAGTCTTATCCCATTTCACCCAGACTTCATCAATCTCAGTTAAAAGATAAAATACAAAACTAAAATAGCCAAATGATTTCACATAAATGGTTGCTATTGTATTTAACATTCAATTCCCTTAAAAGCAGAAGACATTATGCCCCCAAAACCATCTTATAGAATGCAATATTAAACACTTTTAAAAGAATTCACAGGTTTTCACCAAGGATTATAGACACAATGTACATAGACTGATAAATAATATCTATACAATGTACATCTATCTGTGGTAGGAAAATCAGTCTGGTACACCTAAAGAAACTCTTAGAATCAAATGACGTGGATGCCTCTCTGGACCCCACTACCCTGCTTTGATCCAGCTCTTCTAAGCCTTCGAGACCAGTGCTTACCAAGCTGGAATGTGCACACCAACCCCCTGGGGTCTAGCTGACCCAGATTCTGACTCTGTACTCCCGGACCAGGGCCTTCTGACAAGCTCCCAGGAGATAACGGACGCTGCTGTGTGTGGACCACACTTTGAGCAGCAGGGGCCCTAGACTAAAAGCAACTTCAGGATAGGAATCACGACTAATGCATCAAACCCAGTATGTATAGTATCCAATACGTCTACAACAAACATTCCTTGAACAAGCTTCAATAGCTAGTTTGTAAAATGTGAAAATGTAAAGTAGAATGGCTACGGCTGGATTTGGAATCAGTTCAAATCCACTTCACCCAACTACTAGGTGTGTGACCTTGTGCCAACTACTATGCCTCTCTCTAAATCTCAAATTTCCTCATCTGTAAAATGAGGAGGGATAATAATGCCAATTTCAAAGTCGTCTTATATAAGATGATGTAAGCAAAGCACTGAGCATAATACCTGACACAGAGTACGGATTTGATAAATATTATTTATTAATAATAAAAAAATAGTATGATTTTTTTCATAAACTAGAAAATGCTATACAGATGAGCTACTAATATACTTGTAAACAACCCAGTGTTCCTTTATTCTAATTCTACGGTGGTATTCCAAGTAACTAAGACAAGAAAATTGAAAAAAACTTCAGGACATAAGTATAGAATGGCATGCACCTCTAGAAGTTCAACCTCTTTTAAGTTCATTTCAAAAACTAAATTCAATCTATAGCTAAACATAACAAAGAAGAGAAATAACCTGAGTAATTTGTAAGCTATATCACAGCTAAGCTGTGATATAGCTTACAAATGAGTTTACCCCTCATTAAATGATTAAATTAAAATATATGAGGTAAATACTCTATCAATTAGAAATGTATCTGTCGAAGCTTTCATTAATAACCATATTTTTTTTGCCAAAAAAATTTCACTAGCATAAAATTTCCTTCTGAATTTCCTAAGTGTATGCTTTTAATCTCTCTCAAGATTTCTACTAGAAATTCTCTTACATAACTTCTCACATATTTTAAAAGTTTATGTTAGTCCTTTCCATGAAATAAAATTTTTTGTCTAGCACTACTTAATTTATCATGTAAAAAAAACTGAATATAACTAACCAGCTTTCAAATAATTCTTCAGTTGGTTTAATTCTGACATTTTATTAAGAGGTTAAAACCACATACAAAAATGAGTAGGTAGATTTTCTGAATATAGCCACTGTACTATAAACGTCACATGATTTAATTACCGAGTCTATTATTTCCTCCTGAAATGCTTTGCAATTGAAGACCCAAAACCCGACCACCCAATCATAGTGTTCAATCAAAAGATATTTAAGCCTCACTGCTGTTACATTTGGATATAATTTTAAGCAATCTTCTTAAATATAGATCTTGAAATGACAAAATGTTAAAAGATTAACTTCGTTATTTTGTGTTAATTCTAGTTATCAATTAATATTATAAAAAAAGATACAGAACCAAGAGTTTTGATGAGTAGAGAAACATTTTTGTTGCATGTAGAGGTGGGATCAGGGCAGAGGGATACTTACTTATTCATCTATTAAATATTTACTGGACACATGCCAGCAATGTGCCAGAAGGCAGGGATTTCCTGCCCTCCAGGAGCTCACAGCCCCTCGGAGGAAACAAATAACTCCAATGCAATGTAGCAACTAGTCGTAACAGAGGCAAGCAAAAGGTACTAATTAGAGTACACTGCCTTGATACCCATCTCAGTCTGGAATACTTATCTAAGAATCTGGGATATGAAGACAACGCCAGCAAGGAACAGTTTAGACTTTGTAGATTTTCACAAAACAACATGTTCCCCCAACATTATTTTGTTGACAGTATATTTCTTTTGATGTAAAATTTGCATACAAATGCACAAACCGTAAATGCATACTCACTGAGTTTTGACCACATATACACCTGTGTAACTCAAACCCTTAGCAAGATATAGAACTTGATCATCACTCCAAAAAAGTCACGCATGCTCCTTTCCAATCAATTCCTGCCCTCATCCCCAGAAATGACCACTGCTCTGACGTTTTTCCCACCATCAGTCAATTTTGCCCATTCTAGAACTTCAAATACATAAAATCATGATATAAACTCTTGTGTAAGGCATCTTTCAGTCAGGATAATGTTTTTTATCTTCTTCCCAAAATATTTTAAAGCTTACATTCTTTTTTCAATGCACAAAATGAGAATTTTTAGATGAAAAAATACATAGTCTCAATTCATAGATTCATAGGCAATATCAGATTAACATTCTCTTACTGTTCCACTACACACATGCATTTTATCTTTAAGCATTTTTGAATTGTGTGTTCTTTACAGAAAACTTGGAAAATATAGAGAAAATAAGCTCATCATAAATGCTTATAATCAAGAGGCAACATTTTTACATATTTGCTGCCAGTCACTTTTTAAAATCAATTTATACAGTTGTATATTATAGTTCATCAACTATAATATACAAATCCATACCCTGCTCTTTTCCACTATTAAAACAAGCATATTCTTATATCAACTGTTAGTATATTTTAATGGATGCATACTTATCTATATGAACACTTATTGACCAGTAAGGTGTTTTCCAATATATATATGGCAATAAAACATGTACATAAATATTTGCATATATTTTGGGTTATTTCCTTAGGAGAAAGTCCCATAGGGGACAATCATTGCCTGTACAACTCCCTCAACCCTCAAGGTCTTCTAAAGTATGTCTTTAAGAGTATTTTTTTTTTAAGTTGAAATGAAAGGCACATAAGCATGATATTTTACAAACTTCTGGTTGGATGAAAACAAAGAACAACATACATCAGAGAAAATTTGGCAATATGTAAAAGTTCTGGCTCATGACTCCTCACAACTCAAGTTGTCCCATTTTTTTTATTGTATTGAGTGCAGCTGAGAAATCTGCAGCTAGATTGATCCCTGCCTACCTTTGAATGTATCTTGTCTATTTCTCATGGATGCTTATGGGGAGGGAGAGAGAAAGGGGGGGAAAAATTTAAATCCTTGGTGCTTCACACTGCATAGTTTGTATTTATCTGTCTTCAGGTTCCACAGCCCTTCCTTCTCTAGTCTCTCCATCCAGGGATACTAAACCCATCAAGTAAATTTATCATGTCAGATACTGAACTTTTCGGAACTAGAATTCATTTTATTTGTTATAAAGTTTCTATTTTCTCTGCTGATATTCTCCATCCGTTCACTCATTATGACCATTTTTCCCTTTCAGTACTGGAACATATTAGTGGCAGCTGCTTTAGAATCCTTGACTGCTAATTTCAACATAGGTCATCTTGAGGTCTGTTTCTACTGACTGATTTTTTTGTTCTTGATTATGGGTCTCATTTCTCCTACTTTTGATTTTGAATCTCTATTTCACATACTTAGGAACTTTTGACTGAATGCTGGGCATAGTTGGAACGTCTGTTGAAGGGAGTCTGGACTATATTGTCAACCTTGAGTTTTGTTCCGCCATAC